TGTCCACCATTTTTTATTTATTTATTTATTTACAATACAATTTCATGTGTAATTCACTGTAAGGATGTCTTGTGCTAATATAGATACGTCTAGAGTAACTCTCCCTCTCTCATTATTCAATGAATAAAAATGATTAAAGGGGTCATATGATGCTGCTAAAAAGAACATTATTTTGTGTATTTGGTGTAAACACACATGAATAAGACATGATTGGAGACATGTTAATTTTTCAATAATTAGCCCTAAAGATGAAGTGCTCAATTTCATTACCACAAGATTAACAGTAGCCACTCGCTTTTCATTTAGGATGCCCCTTTTCTCAAACCCTCTGTTGTTTAACTGACCATATCAGGAATAAAAACTGGCCATTGCAAGGCTGTATATCAGACCATGGCCTGCCCTTTTAAAAAATGGAGCACTTACATTGCGAGCAGCTAATTATTCTGGTTGCCGCTTTCCAAGAAGTGTATTAATGTTCTCTTTCTACATGGATACATTTAATACTTCACCTCAATGAAGTGAAGCCAACATTAACATATATGGATGGGTTAAGCAAACTGTGTTATAAAATGAGCTTGGAGAGGAAGAGTGAAGAACTGTTTACTCCTTAACGCTGAGATCCTCTTTAAGCACAATATGTGGTCTTGCTTGGTCACTATTCTGCGTATAGAACATTAGTGTGCTCTGACCATTTTCTACATATAGAACATTATTATACTATGTTTCAATTCGTTTGGAACACTACTCTGCTCTTTTACTGTTCTACATGTAGAACACTATTCTGCTTTGTCACTATTCTGTAGGTATAACACTTCTCTGTCACTATTCTATATATACAGAGCACTATTCTGCTCTCATTATTCTATAACACTATTCTGCTCTCATTATTCTATAACACTATTCTGCTCTGTCACTATTCCACATGTAGAAACACCACTGTGCCCTGTCACTATACACTTCTCTTGTCACTACTCTGCATGTGGAACACTATTTTGCTCTCACACTATTCCCTTTGTACTCTGTCACTATTCTACAAGTAAAACGTGATTGCGCTTTGTCACTATTCTGCATGTGGAACACTACTGTGTGCACCCAAGCATGTGCTCTTTTCTAAAAGCCTACTTTTAATTCGATTTAATCTCATCGATAAATCAAAGCTAATCAAACCGAATTCTTCTCTCGGTACGCTGTTAAAATGTTATCTTTACAGAAAATACCCTAAGCAAGCCAGACCTCGGCAAAACAATTCCTTCTGTTATTCTTTGCAGAAATTATTATTAGGCAAATAATGTATTTTTTAGACCGTGTGCTTATAGCGACCCACAGTGGTGACATTGTGAAATACAGACACACTAAAACAATTATTTTAGAGGGAGGGTTTTTTTCCCCAACCACTTTCTTATAGCTACATAGGTCATCAGGTTATTTTTAGTAGTACGCCCAGCAAGTTAAATGTAGGTTGCGACTGACGTTCATAGCTGACAAAATATGCATTTTTGAGTGTAAACAGGTAGGTTTGCTCACCTTAAGATGCAACAAATAGCCTGCTATGTTTTAATTTCCTGTAAAATCAAGTAGGCTAATAAAACAAAGCGTACATATATCCGCTTCTTACAAATTAAAATAGGCCTGTAGCCAAGTTAAAAAAAAATTTAAGTTTATATGTTTGAGAACTCACGTGTAGTCGAGGCAAATATTTTATTTTTACTTGATGCATTGATTCATTCATACGTGTAAGTCGAGGTTTATTCACATTATCATAATTAAGATATCTTTAATCAAACCTTATCATTTAATTAGTAAAGTATTATGTATACATTTGTTACTTTTATACAAACCAAGCACAGTGTTTATACATTAAGGGACATTAAACCTGTGTAGAGGCAGAGGTGAGAAAATGTGGCGTTATCAGTGGCGTAAATGCTCGCGCATCTACGCAATTTCCTTGCGTGGGAGAGAGACACACAAGCGTCCTGTTCTCAATCTCCACAGCTCACGTCACACAAGCATATGTCTGATGTTCTGCGCAGGATAAGTTAGAGCAGGTAGTTTGAAGGTTTTCGTTTAGGCTCTATCTACCGGGACAGCACGCGCTCACCGGCGCCGTACACAACATTTAAATCCAACCATCGTGTAAAGGTCATCAGCGATCATCTCCTATGTTTGAAACAATTGTAGTGAACATGACGAGTTTGAAGGCGGTCGCCGAGCCGTTTGGTAAGTAACGTAAATCCGCTTGTTTGTAGCTGGAGAATACACGCGCTTTACACAGGACACGAGCGGCAAAATGATGGACGGTTGTTTTGTTTTGGTTCGGAGTACTTGGTTTTCAGTTTTTTTTAAATAACGTTAGCCTAATGAAGTTGGAAATGTCAAGAGGTGAACATTTACAGGGTAACTTCATGGTACAATAGGGAACATCATAGTTTATGTCATGGTGAGTGTGTGTGTGTATAGGCTATATATGTGTGTGTGTGTGTGTATACATATATATATATATATATATATATATAATAATGTTGAGTTGCATCAAATCAGGTAGACTTTCTCATGCTGAGGCTGCAGTTTGTGCTGTAAAAGGATGAAAAAACTTGTTGGTTTTGCTCTGTCTTTATTTCAAAGGACTTTACTTGTTCTTCTGTAGAGGTGACGGGGTTTATACTGCAGTATTTGCGTGTTGCTTCTGTTAGTGTATGGGTGGCCATGCAGAAGAATATCTGTGCAGAGAGTTTTGCCCTGCAGGATTATATTATGATGTGGTTTACATTTTATCTCTTCAAGTGCATCCCGAGCAAGCGGCTACATGCTCTCTGCATTCCCTGGCTGAGCAGAAACAGTCATGAATGGATTCAGGCTGCACAGGTTTAGATTCGTCTACAGTACTGACCGGGGTTAAATGTAGCACGTGTAGATTGATCTGTCCATGAGCTTAAGCTTATAGCTCTACTCCTGTAAAAAATGAAACGCGCTGGATTGTGAAAGTTTTTTTTTTTATTAGTATTGGGTATTTTTGCAGTGGGACAACATAAGTGAAAATAACTTTCCATAGATAACATCAGCTCAAGCAAGGTGCTAGGCACCCTTTTATAGCTCTACTCCTGTAAAAAATGAAACGCGCTGGATTGTGAAAGTTTTTTTTTTATTAGTATTGGGTATTTTTGCAGTGGGACAACATAAGTGAAAATAACTTTCCATAGATAACATCAGCTCAAGCAAGGTGCTAGGCACCCTTTCCGGTTTGATGCTTACATCAGAGTTTGTTGCTTGTTTTTTCCCTGCCTGTACTTTCAGCAGTCATCATGATTGCAGTGAAAGGGCAACATCCTGTTTCAGTTGAAGGTATTTCCTAGAAAATACCCTATATTTTGTGCATATGCTTTCCTTTTTTTTCAAGGACTGTTTTAGCGAACAAAAATTTCTTCTTAATTCCTCAGAATTGTGCCTTTCGTGTGAAGTAGCATTGGTGGTCAACACACACATTTCACGGTACAACCAGAGGTTAAGCTGTCTGGTGTGGGTGAGATTGTGGGGATAACCATGCATGATCAGTCTTTCCCCTCACCAAACCTCAAGCAACAGACAGTCAGTTTTATGTCTGATGTCTGAAGTTGTGTCTCTTTAGCAAATCTCAGAAACATGGAAGTCATGCTTTTTACGCTTTGCCTCTGAAATGCAACAGAAGAGTAAAATACTAATTTCGGGGACAAGTTGTCCCATGTTTCTCATTATGTATCTCTGTTCCTTGCTGTTTTTATGTTTTTTTCCAAATTTATGAATGGTTAAGTTTCGATATTTCACTAGTTACATTTTGGTTTAACATTCTTATTTACTTACAAGACTGAAAAAAATGATTGAATACAGTAGCACAACTAGCACATGACCTGTTTAAATGACTGCATTTCCATTTGTGGAAAAAACCCCAGCTCTGATTGTGTTAAAGTGTAACAGAAGTAATGACATAACTTTTCTTCTGCATTGTGACTTACATTTGATTAAAGCAGATTATTCAAAAGAATAAAATAAAACGCATGAATGTATGAATCGTTCACATTAAGATCAATAACATGTATTTAGTTTTTTATTTTTATTTAATGATGACTTTGGTTTTAAAACAGTATAAACAAAGATTGCCATTTTGTGTAGTTTTTTTTCCTTTAGACACTGAAATTAAACATTTGCATGGCTGTACAAAGCTAATCAATATTTATTAAGGCAAGCACCGTTCAATTTATGATTAGCCTAGTTGTTTGTTGCTAAACAACTCACTGTAGAATTCTAGCTATGCATTGTTTTGGTATCGCAAATTGGGGCGATAACAGAATTATTGAACAGTAAAGATATCTGTGTTTGAATCTGCCACATGCCAGTGATGCCACTGAATTACTCGCGCTGTGCTTCTCACGCAGAGACACACACACACACACGCATCTCTCACACTTCCTTCCTCTCACAGTCACTTAGTAATTTTTACTGACAGTCCTCTCTATTTCTTTATGAATGAATGAATGATGCATTTATATAGCGCTTTATTGTGTATTACTGTACACCCAAAGCGCTTTACAATCATGTTTGTGTGTGGTTGGAGGGGGGTTAGGGGTCTCTCTCCTCAACCACCACCAGTGTGCAGCATCCACCTGGATGATGCGACGGCAGCCACCAAACACAACAGATTATGTAGGTTAGACATGATTTTATACATGATATGAAAGTAGCATTGAATGGGAGGAGCAGGTTTTGAAACTCACACTCCTACGATGTTGTGGGACGCCCTACACGAAGTCTCCGAGGTTTGTTCTAGCATGTTCTCTGCTCATTTATCCACACATCTGAAAGTTAAATTTTTCTCCCTTCGCTACACTGTACACACCACCTCTCTTCAAATGTGTCCCAACATGTAGAAAGAGGAACAAAGGTGTATTGTTTTCCTTGAGGTCTTGATTCCTATGTGTGTGATGTGATGTTTGACCTCTGGGGGTCTTTACTGATGGTTTGTGCGTGTGTTTCAGTCTCTGAGATCAAATTACCCCATTCAGGTCACTGATCCACAAGCTATCAGAGGTATTTATTTATTTATTGTTTATTTATGTTGCTGCTTGTATTGGTAGTGATAAATGTGTAAAGTCATACAATGAATGATTATTTCCTGTCTGCATATTTAATCAGTTCCGCTGATCTCAGGTAATGAGAGTGGTGACCTTTGGGTCAGCCTCCACACTTTCCATATAATCGTGTTCAATAGAACATGAAGACATAAAGTGTTAATAAAAGATCAACGGGTTTATTCATAGAATCTCTGCTTCTCTACAGATCCTGTAACCCTACAGCTCAGCTCTGTTCCCCCTGGATATTTGTCATCAGCGGTGGACAGGATACGACAAGTGAGTCTTTCAATTTGCATCTTCCACTGGAAATTAGTTGGGTCTGATCACTTTCTATCATTATCTGCCGGAGTCACGTACACATTTCCGACAACATCCTTATTTATAGATTCAGACCACTCACTGTGTGGTATACTGATTCTCAAGGAGTTGTATCATGTGGGCTGTGTAAGAAATATGTGGTTTTCATATTAATGCCAAATTCCCCTGTGCATGTTTGACATGTTAGGAATCTAACATTAACCATTAAGGAATCTTAACCAAAGTATTTTGCAGACATTTCATGAAGACCCTAAAGAGTCATACCAACTTATGGGAAATGGGCATCCGATGTTCCCTTTAATGTATTTGTGCAATGTGTAATACTTAAGCCTTCTTTGTTAAATCTTTAACTTCAATAATACAATAATACCATCTCTTTTTTTTTTTTAATCACTCAGCCTGTGGAAAATGACGGTAGTGAATTTATTCCATCATCTTCTGTTTCATCAGGTATGTGTAAATATTAGAATACTACCATTCCCACTGTACACAACTGTGTATGGACATATTGGACACAATGTTATAAAAATGGGGCAATATTACGGTGGTCGAGAGAGCTCAACGTGCTGCAACTTCAGAAAACACATGCAAATAGCAGAAACGTGCTGGAAATGCTCTCAACAAAACCAAATAAAGAAACGCGCTGCAAATACTCACAACACAAACAAATACAGAAACGCAAGTACAAACCACAACGGGAGGACCCCAACAATGCCAAAATTACCCCAACAAAGCGAAAATTAACCATGTTTTTTTTTTAATATTGATTACCATTTGTATAACCACAGTTGTACAAATATCATGGTTAAAACTATGGTTAGTGTAGTAAATCCATGGTTAATTTGTGCATGTTACTAACCATTTTTTTTGTTTTCATGTTTCTTATGTAATAAATGTATTAATTAATTTTAATAGTAGGCTATGGTTAATTTTTGTAAGGTAAGTTGTAAAAGCCAGCTTACATAACCTTTCACAGTACAAAAATCTCACCTTTCAGAGCAAACATTGATAAATATGTACTAGCCATGTTCGTCACTTTGCGGTTCCCTTAAACGTTTTCGATGTGGTCTGTGCCTATTTGCAACGCGTTTCTTTATTTGGTTGTGTTGTGAGCATTTGCAGCACGTTTCTGTTTTTGCAGCGCGTTTCTTTATTTGTTTGTGTTGTGAGTATTTGCAGCATGTTTCTGTTTTTGCCGTGCGTTTCTTTATTTGGTTGTGTTGTAAGAGTGAAAAATTTAAGGGGGTCTGAATACTTTCCGTACCCACTGTATATATATATATATATATAAATAAATAAATATGTAAACATCAGTGTAAATACTTGTGTGAGTGAATCCGCTAAATTGTTCCATGAGTCATTGCTTAGCAGGGTTGCCAACTTTAAGTTCAGCTTGGAGTAAGAGGTATGGAGGGGTCTGTTTCTTTATTATAAATATATTTTTACTTATAGATCCACAAAAGATATGTTGTCCATACATTTTTGGGTAACATATTCTAATCTTTTATGTCAAATTCTTATATGTGACCCTAGACCACAAAACCAGTCATAGGGGTCCTTTTTTTTAAAGAATTTAGATTAATACATCATCTCAAATGTGAATAAATAAGCTTTCCATTGATGTATGGTTAGTTAGGATAGGACATTATTTGGCCGAGATGCAACTATTTGAAAATCTGGAATCTGAGGGTGAAAAAAATCTAAATATTGAGAAAATCACCTTTAAAGTTGTCCAAATGAAGTTCTTAGCAATGCATATTACTAATCCAAAATTAGGTTTTAATATATTTAAAGTAGGAAATTTACAAAATATCTTCATGGAGCATTTTCTTTACGTAATATCCAAATGATTTTTGGCATAAAAGAAAAACAAATTGATGAAGATGTTTTCTTAATTTGCAGGTGTTTTTTCTATTTTCAGCGCGTTGAGCTCTCTCGGCCACCGTACAATATGGTATTAATGCATTATTGCTAACAATAAATCTGTACAGTTTTCTTATCACATTCAGTTTAAGAATTAAACAGCAGATATATACAGTGGGTACGGAAAGTATTCAGACCCCCTTAAATTTTTCACTCTTTATGTATTGTTGGCTATTGCTGCAAATATACCCGTGCTACTTATGACTGGTTTTGTGGTCCAGAGTCACATATTAGAAACTAAAACCACCAGTAGGTGGCGGCAAGTTACTGTCATGAAATGAATAAGTCCTTGAATCATTTAATTTGTTAAAAAAGAACTGATTCATTCAGGAACAAAGCAAGTGACTGATGACTTTATGAATAGGTAATTTAATCATTTGCTTCTTCCTGGTCTGATGTTGCTTAACTATATTCTAAATATAAAAAACAAGAACTTATACAGACAGACATCACATCAGTAGCACAGAGTGAGAAAATGGACATATGGCATGAGAGCGTGAGAACAGTGTGAGTTGTGTGAGGGTTGGATATGACTGACAGTGATCACTGTAGAAACGGACGGAACACAACATCTGACAAGCCAATTAAAAAATAGACCTGTGCATTAAGTGATGCAGTGTAAATGCCGAGCAACAAACCTACAACAGCAACAAGCCAGGGTTGGCTGAATACATTTAGCAGCTTCTACAGTTAAAAGAAAAAAAAAAAGTAAAGCAATTTAAAAAAAAAAAAAGAAGTTTTTAAATTAAATCTAAAAATATTTGAAGGTATTAATGCATTATTATTTAATTATTATTGTGTTAATTAAATTATTAAATCTGTAGTTAACCAGTGCAAAATTATTTAAATAATTAACCCTTCTAGATTGTTGGAGTCTGGGTTTATTTAATGACATGAGACTTTGTGACTTCCTGCGCTTGCTATACTTCATACTTCAGTACAATAAAAGTACTAAAATTTGTTCAAATAAATCTAAATGCAAGACCTGATAAGAACTAGGGAGTGGAATTGGCAACTGAGCTAATGAGTGATCCTCTGTTGCCATCTACTGGTTATTTTGGTAATTTCATATCATTTTCATTTTAAAAGTGTTTGTTTTCCATCAGGTGACAGAAAGGGTTTAAAAGAAGTGTTTTAAAATAAAATGCGCTTCATAGACAAACAGCCCTCAGAGGGTTAAGAACCATGTGTAAATTGGGTTTTGTTACTGTGTGCTATTGTTACTGTTAGCATGAATTTTGGAGATATCCTGACTTTAAGCACTTTATGCAATGTCTGCTTTTCTTTCCCCACTCTGTAGACTTCGGTAAAGAACACAAGGCTTGTAAGGAGTGTTTATGTTCTGCTCCTCCACCCAAAATCAGTGACCTGATGAACGACGAAGACCTTCTGTACACTCTAAGACTGAAGCTCGATCCGACTCACTGCACTGTCAAAAACTGGAAGAACTTTGCAAGCCGCTGGGGAATGAGCTACGACGAGCTCACGCTTCTAGAGCAGCGCACACACGGTCCCACCTACCACAGTCCCACTCAAGAGTTCCTCCTGCGCTACAACCAGAAACCTGTCACGGAGCTCACCGCACTCTGCCAGCTTTACCAGCGCATTGATGTGCTTCGATTGCTCCAGAGATGGATGGAGAACGACTGGCCCTCGCGCTGGCAGCAGGCCCATTAGCTGGTACTTCACAATAACTGGACCTCAAAGGAGAAACGTGTTGGTAGAAACTGAAATTCATGACTGCATGGATGAGCAGGAGGTCAGAACACACATTACTGAACGGGTGGGACAAAGACAGGTTTTACGAGGTTGTACACTGGACGTAGTTTATTTTTTGGTAACCGTTGGCTGGTTTCATCACTCCATATGTCACCGTCTGGTTAGCTGTATTAGCTATGTGGTAAAATATATGCAACAAATATATGCAGTAGCACCCCAGCACTTCAGTTGAAAATGGAAAGACCACTCAGGTGTGATTACTCATTTAGATTCTGTCTGGAAATTCTCTGTGATTCCGGTCATACAGCATTTAATTTATTTTAATACAAACAGTCATCTGCTGGCGGTGTGCCAGTGTTGGTGGTCTTATGAAGTGTCATTTAATTAGTAACATATACTATAATGAGTCATTGTTCTCGATATCTAAATGAGTTTTAAGACAACCTTTCACCTTTATTCTTGCCTGCATTCTAGTAACAGGGTCATTCTAGAATTAATCACACAAAAACGGCATCTCCTTTCAGTGTATAAAAATGGAATCTTCTTCATTGTTTTACATGAATTTGAGCATGTAAAACATTGTGATACATATCAAAATTCCCATTGCACTGCTCACTGAGCACTTGAATTTAGTATCATGTTTGGTATGAATGGCACTTATTTTTTTTTATTATTATTTTGAGACTTTAAGAAAGATTTAGCATGTCTCTGAGAAAGGAGTGGTAAAATAGCAGTATAACTGCAGAGAACAGTGGATCTGGAAGTTGACTGGACTTTATTGAAAATATTAGTTTCAAAAATGCAGGGTCCGGCTGTTTCAAAATGTATGGTCAAATGTAAATTACAATGCAGGTAGTAGGGTAGAATGTGACAACATTACCTCTTCTAAACAAGACTTTAAAAAGTGTTTGGTTTTGTGCCATGTACTCTACCTAGCTTTTTATTTCCTGTGTCTAAAAATTAAAGCCTGTTTATGTGCATCAGGGGTTCTCTGTTTAAAAATAAAACTTTTATATACACAGTATCTGAATATTTGTTATACCTACCATTATAGTGTAAATACAAAGTATTTTTCATCTGCAATACATTATGAACTACTGGCATCGCTTGAATGTCAGTGGTGAATAATGGTCTGACATCATCAAAACTGGAGTGAGTGTTAAAATTAATTTTCCATGCAGTGATCATATCATAAACTTTATTGAAGTCTTTTGAGAGATTTGTGCCCTTGCAAATATAGGTACATGCTTCATGAAACACACAAAGACACACGTGATATTTAATAGATGTAAAAATTTGACTTATTTTATTTATTTATTTTTTCCAATTTGCAGTACTGACAAATATATAGATGTATATAATTGGAATGGAAATAAGTATAAACAAAAGACTATATATTAGATAATATTACATAAAAACAGTGACAAATAAGACAGAATGAGAGATTCAGCATATTTTCCTTCATGTTCTTGTCAATGTTTTGAGAAGATATAATCATTGCACATTTAAAGAGAACTTTATACAATTATGTATATAACTGATTATAAAAATAAGTACATCTCTGTTAATACTCCACCCATTTTAAAAGTAAACAGCTGGAGGTGAATTTTTTTACATATTATTTTACATATGCACTATGCAGTGGGTGTGGAACTACACTAACAAGGCTCTTGGTTTTATTTAAGGTTTAATCTGTTGGCAAACCAAGCATGTTGTTCAAGCTGAGGGCAATCTTGGTGTCATCTTCATTGCTAGTTGTATCAATTACTGGGTAGTCCTTATCAGCATCAGGCTTTGTGACTTTACATGTTCCTCTATTCACTTTTGTAGGGCTGCCTGGTTCTGAAAATATGCCAAAATCTGGGCTTCTAGTACGTGCATTAGACAATCTCAGCCTTTCCCGGATATCTACACTAGCTGTCTGTCCATTGACCCCAACAGACGGAGAAGAAGCTTTAAGATTTGTCTTGACTGAGGAGACCGAGACAACCGCGTCATTAGTTGTTTTTGTAGGGTCAGTACTGAGGTCAACCGCTCCAGTGAGTTCTTGTAACAGCTTTGGGAAGATTTAAGTCAACACTAGGTGAATTTAATTGTCCTCCGAGTTGGGGAACTGAGAGATCTAGATCTGCATTAGCATCCAGCTCAGGCCCTTTTACTTTTGGCCCAGTCAAATTCAGTTTTGGTAAATTGAAATGTGGCATCTTAAATTTTCCAGATGGGGCATTAATGTCAACATCTGGGACTTTAAGGGTAGCATCAGGTCCTTCAAGCTCTGCTTTTGGCAAGTCTAGGTCTACATCTGGGGTGGTGAGATTGAGATTTGGTGACTTTAGATTTCCCCCAATGTTTGCACTTGGAGCATTTAAGTCGGCTTTTGTTAAACCAAGGTCTAAAGAAGGAGCAGAAATGTCACCTTTAACTTTAGGTGTTGAAACACTAAGATCAGGTGCTTTAACATCTACATTAGGTGCTTTGAGTTCTGCTGTGGGCATGTTCACATCCACATCAGGTGCATCTAGTTTTGGTGTTTTAACCCGAGGTCCAGAAAGACCAAATTTAGGCAGCTTAAAGTGAGGTACCTTGGCTTTGCTAGAGGGGGCATCAATGTCAATGTCTGGGGCTTCAAGGTCTACATTTGGACTTTTGACATTAGCATTGGGCAAGTTCAGATCCACATCTGGAGCACTAAGTTTGCCATCCACTTTGGGTGCTGAAAGACTGAGATCTGGAGCTTTCAGGTCTAGGTCCGGTCCATGGAGATCTGCCTGTGCATTGAGGTCTACATCTGGACCTTTCATTTTTGGCCCAGATAGATTTATTTTAGGCAGTTTAACATGGGGCTTCTTTACCTTTGCAGATGGAGCTTCTATGCCAATATATGGTGCCGTCACATCAGCAGCTGGAGTTTTAATGTCTAGATCTGCAGCAGAGAGGTTGAGGTTTGGTGACTTGACATCTAGATTCGGTCCTTCCAGTTCAGCTTTTGGCAGATTAATATCTACCCCAGGAGCCGACATGTCCAAGTCTGGTGCGTGTACCCCTGCATTTAGACCTGGAGTTTTCAGCTTTGATTTATGTAAGTTTAGCTTTGGCATTTTAAGAGTTGAGAACTTGTGCTTTGCAGTCGGACCATTAATGTCTAAAGCAGGTGCTTTTACATCAATATCAGTGCTCTGTAAATTGACATTTCCTTTTGGGATGCTGATATCTCCATCTATCTTTGGTGCTGAGAGATTTAAATCAGGTGTTGAGACATTGGCATCTAAACCAACCTCTGATGCTTTAACCTTCTGCCCAAATGTGGGTTTCTTAAATGTTGACCACTTTATTTTCCTAGAGGGAGCATTTATATCAACATCAGGAGTTTTAATATCTACATCTGGAGCTTCAAGGTTGGCTCTTGGCAGATCAATGTCAACATTTGGTGCACTGACATCTGCATTTACTTTTGGAGCAAAAAGCTTTGTATCAACACTTGCCTCTGGTACTTTCACTTTTGTAGTTTTTGCTTTCTTTAATTTAGGAAATTTGATCTTGCCAGAGGGAGCTTCGATATTAGCTTTTGGTGTTTCGATGTCCAGGTTTGGACCACTGAGCTTCGCTTTTGGCAAGGTCATGTCTACGTCAGGGGTCCCAATTTCTCCATTAATCTTTGGGGCCGACAGATTCAGATCAGGGGTTTTTAGGTCAGCATTTATGTCTGGGGAGGTTAGATTCACATCACCATCAACCTTTGGTTTTTTACCATGAAGACTGAAGGTGGGTATTTTGAACTTGGGCGTTTTGGTCTTCAGTTCAGGTTTGTCCACATTAACAGAAACATCTGGGGTGTTAAGAGTAGGGGTAGAGACACTGACATCAGGTGCTTCTAATGTACCATCCAGACCTGCTCCTTCGAGATTTGGTGCAGACAAGCCAAAAGTTGGCCTTTTGAACCCTGGGTGGCTGAAGTTAGGTGTGGCATTCTTTAGCTCAATCTGTGGCATTTCTGCATTTACTGTTGGGGTTGAGATCCCACCCTTAAGCCTTGGGGCATTTATCTGTCCATTTAGCCCATTAACCTGAACACCTGGTGCTTGAAGTCCTGCCTCACTGTTCAGTCGAAGATCACCAAGAGACTAAAGAGGAAGATGAGATGAAGACATTATGAGACCCAATTATTCTCTATTTTTGCTTTTTCTTTAATTCTCAGTGTTGCTTACCAGTCCTGCTTTCAGATCTTTTGCTGTCTTGAGTTCAAGGTTCTTGTCATAGGGCTCGAGTATTCTGATCAATTTTAGCACTTCATCTTTACTGAGGTGGTCCAGATGAACGGTTGCAGCAACAAGCTGATCTCCTGCGAGAGACAAAAAGAGAAGATAAGGTATGTTACAGAATCCATTACTATCATTAAGTTTGCTTGTTGGATGACTGAGGCAGCATATAGGGCTGCATTTACACTTGGCATTTACATGTGACCTGTATCCAGATGTTGTCCTCATACACATTGAAAAGACAAGTGTAAACGCGCTTCTGATCGGAATGTTATCCGATCAGCGTGTCCTGCTCCAGAGGTAGTCGAGGATGCATTGTGATCGGATCTCAGTGTAATGTAAACGCAATCCAGCCATCGTGTCTGCATTCGCAGGTTGACATCACGCAAAACCCTGCCCCCTCTCTCGCGAACTGTCAGAAGAAAGACGGAGAACACCCGTGTGGAGCGCTAGTGAGACTCCTACACTTATCTTTGATTTGTAAAATGTCCCGCGACTGAAAAGGTTTTTCAAAAGAAAACCCACCACTTCAGGGTGACTTTGCACTGGGCCATTCTCTGCAGACTTATTTAAATATTGCGCGGGAAAGACAGATCCGATCAGTTATCCAGATAGAGAAGTCACCTGATGTTGCCAAGTGTAAACGCGCCATGTCCTGATTGACTGATGATCCGATCTGCTTGATCAGATCACGGAGATCGCATGTTAATGCCAAGTGTAAACGCAGCCTAGGATACATGTGAGTTCTTTACCTTCCTTCAGGTTGATTGCTGGATTTGTGATCCCTGTGACTACGACCCCTCCTTTTTCTGTGTCCTCCAAAGTCTCTGAGAGGGCATGAATCTTTATTTCTCCATTCTGCACATGAACAAGGTGACTTACTACCATACATTAGTGTTTTGTTTATAATCTCATAAATACATAATATTATTTGCAAAAGTAAAAATTATGTGCTATGCCATGGCAAGGATGTAATCAGAGGTATAATGAATGTGTGAAATGCAATTAAAGGTGCTGTAAACTATTGTTAGCCATGTTGAAACTTCTAGCAGACTTAACCATCGAGTCAGGCACGCCCTGACTTCTGATTGGCTAAACAAATCTGATTACGTCTGCCAGGTGTTAGGAATATTTTCTGTGTGCAATTCTGTTAAAAAATGACAAGAATTTTTAAATTGTTATTTTGGTGAGAGGGTACCAACCATCATGTCTTCACTTCTTTAAATACAACTGACATGTCATGAATACCAGTTTTCAGGAGATCTGTCAAAACAAAAAGCAACAAGACTTGAAGTAATTTTTATCATTACATTAAGGACTATATTATGTGGATATTCATTTTATAAAAAGTAGGCTACATTTAACATTTTCAAGGAAAATGACTGACCTAAAGCCATTCAACAAAACATTTCATTTTAGTATTTTTAGGAACATACAATGGAAGTACAATGACTAATTGTAATTTTAATCTAAAGCCAGTTTTAGACCTGCTGCTGATTCAAAACAAACATGTTGCAAGCAATCGTCATGTCATCTTTACTCCATAAAATGAGCATATAAGTGCATGGGTGTGTGGTTACTTCCTTGCTTCCTTTTCAACCTCATCCCACACTCCTCGAGGCACTTGTTACATCTATATTGCATCATTTTAGTAGTCTTGTACATTGCTTGGTAATAAAGCTAATCTAAGCACCACTTTTACATGTTTTTAAAAATGAATTGATTGATAGCATTGTTATTATTATTATTTTTTTTTAATCAAGATCAGTTATATACATATTAAATAAAAAAGGGAAAAGGGAAGTGGCAAGGAAAAGTCAGGAACCGCCTCCAGTTTTTCAAAAACAGATGTAATCAGCTGTAATGCAGTTAATCACATTCACTAGATCTCATAGTGAGAAGGTGTTTGTTAAAAAGTGAAGTAAATAAGAAAGGAAGATACTATTCCATGCTGCAAACCACATTGCTTAGAACAAAATATAAACAAATGATGCTTTATGATGCTCCCTTTTGAGGTCTGCAGTCTGGTAACCAATCACATGGGCAGTGGCTTTATGGCATTATGACATCTTCATTCTCTCTCTCAGGTTTGAGCTAACATTTCACAGGCAAGCAGAGATTTTTTTTAAGAAAATTGCAGAAACCTTGCATATGTGCAAAGTACAGCCTCTACATGCCCAATTTTTCAAATTTTAGATTATTAAACAACCTCCTAATTTAACTCAAAATAAAATGCTTTTGAACTTGGTATTCTGTCTCTGTAACAGATTGTGTATGTGTGGTTTGTGTCAGGAATGTTTTAGGAATGGATGGACTGTGGAGAATGAGGAGAACCAGTTTGTTCAGATGAAAGAAAGATGAGGAGATAAATACAAGGTCACTCTGTATCTCTCTTGACTTTTTCCCCCCTAAATATCTATCTTCCAATTTATTTCTGTTTTGTCTCTCTAAAGCATATTATTCAGACTGCGATTAGAAGGTTCAGATGGTCTTGACAATGAATTTAAGATTTCACAGTCAAGATCAGAACAATATAATTACTCTGCTCAGTAAAGCATTGAGTTTAATCAGCAGCGGGAATCATCTAATGTTTCAGCTTCACCCACCACCACAACAGTTTCCCAAAGACTTGCTTCTAAAATAATCTGATGCTAAAAAAAAACATCACTGCTTTCAAAAGTCATACCATATAAGTTATTCCTCATTTTTATAGCATGCACAATGATGCATGATTAATTAGTGCTGAAAATTTCAGCTCATCCAAATGTTTCTCCTGTTCACATTTTTGTGACCGTTTTCAATTTACAACTAGTGTTAATCAGTAAAACCGCAATAGACTCACATTTATGACAACAATCAGAGCAAAGTGCACATCAAACACAAATATTAAACGAGATATTAAAGGAGCTGTTACAACAACAGAATAGTCTTCTTTAGGTCTGATTTGACATGACAAACCTCTGCATTTTGCAAGTAACTTAATTTATCAGTTCCCATTAGATGACGCAGGATGATAAATTGCACTATGATGTTCTTTCTGATTCGGTATGATTTATTTAAGCACTGGTCAGAGTGAGTCACTTACCCAATGTTGTTAATGTGAGTGCATCTGTAGCCGTTGATGTTGACCCCTCTAAACTCCAAGTGAATATGACTGTCATCCTCTCTGTCATGGGATTTCTGTCAGATAAATGCATGTGGAGCCACCAAACAGGTTCTGCAGCACCAGCATGACACACACACACCGAAACTACAGATACAGAGAGCAAGTTTAAAAGTGACTATAAATTTACATGCAAATTTGTGGCATGATGCAGTTAAATGTTTGTCATATATTTCAATTTGATTATGATGAGTTTATTATTTGTATGTTTTCTACATCACAGAGAGCTTCAGTTCAGAATTGCCAAAGCAACAGCGATTTGATCAGTCTTCCCCAAAAACTGGACTTTGAAACTTGCATTTGTTGATTTTCACATTATAAAACGATCATATTTAAACTATGGTGAGCTAATTTATGCTTTAGTCAAGGATGTGGCCATATATTTAATATTTGTGGGGAACAAAGTTCAAATGTTGTGGTTTTTCCTTAGTAACAACAGCTTAGAAACATCCGACGAGAAAACCTAAAGTGTGTTTTGTCAACAGTGAAATATTGCTAGACTGTTGTGTTTGCAAGGGTTTGGCCTTACAGTCTTGTGCCACACACCCTTAAGTTCTTTCTGAAATGCATATGAATGCATAGCGCTACAGAAAAGTTTCAGCTGGTTGTGTTTTAATAGTTTCAGTAGAGGGAGAGTTCACCCAGAAATATAAAATCTGACCTTATTCTATGTATCAAGGAGATACAGTGTTTTGAAAAAATACTTTGGACCTGAGTGACTTTCATTGTATTGACAAAAAAGTAGACCCATTCTTCGGAATATCGTCCACACAAAGTCACACAGGCTTGGAACGACATGAGGGGAGAAAATGATGACACAATTTTGGGTAAATGATCCCTTTAATGTTAATTCAACACCCACAAATGTATTTCGGAAATGCTTGTTCACATTTGTTAGCACTACTGAGGCATATTCTTATTTATTAACCACCAAACGTCCAACGGGAAACTGCTGTCTGGTTGAACAATACTGAAAGTTTGAGAAAGATGTCTAATGAAACAAATCATGAAGTCATTAAGGTGTGAATTTGTTGTTCTGAAATGATTTGCCATTCTGGCATACAATAAAGACATTATTGTAAGAGTTTTTTTATTTATTTCATGAACTGTAGTACAGTCACATTTCTTAGTAAACAGTAATACTATTAGTCACCCACCTTGCATCCTTAAGCTCTTGGCAGCAGAAATGGAGCCCTTAACCACTATTTATGGCAGAAAATAGCTTCTATGAATTGTTACATTTATAAGAAGAGACTATGTCGATGCAAATGAGTAACCACTCATCTTCACAATACAGGGTTTGTTGGTATTTGTTCGCAGAGAGAATTGGTTTAACTCCATGGACACTAAACTGCGCTGCAGTTGTTAATGTTTACAGTTCAGTACAAAGGTAAAAGTTTATGGATAGAATGAGATTTTACATTTTGAATGTACTCACTACAAGGTAATTGTATATTTGGTTGCAGTAAATCAGCAAGACATGGTTATTTAACAATATATGAGTGATTGTTAAATCAAGGAAACTTTTCTGTCCTCTTGAATTATTTAGGTTTTATTTATTTATTTTTTAAGAACAGTTCATTTAGTTTTAGCAACACTTATTCTACAAATTTACACTATTTCTTTAAAAACTTGACTTTTTGGCCAGCTTCAAGGCCTTTATCAGATGACTGAGAATTTGCCTTTTTTTTTGCCTATTATAATACATTCAAACATTATGTGTCTCTTTAATTACTAGAGTGTTTTGTGGAAAATTAATCTGGACTTTTGGACTAATACATTTATAAAAAAAAAATGTTGATGTTCGGTAATTCTACTTCACGCTTCTGTGTAAAACTTGTATATTTGTGTACAACTTTGTATTTTTTTAACATACTGCTATCATAGCATCACACCAAGCATTTTAGAGTTTTTAAAAGTTTTTTTTTTTTTTTTGAGTTAGAAATGAAAAGGGACAGGCAAGAGCATCTCCAAAAACATCTCCCTTTAAACTTTTTTTTTTACATCATGATCTGAGAGTATTTGTTAGTGTCATCATCGAACTGGTTTCTTTTTATTTTAATTTCAGTATGTTGAGTGACTGATAGCTATGGCTTAGCCAACGTTTTCTCCAAAAACTAAACCATCACACACAACTAAAAATCCACCCAGTAAAATGTAGTTTGAAGAAGTTTAATTTTTCAAGATTTCAAGTAGGCTAGTCAAAAGTGCATCTAACTGAAGAATCACCCATTTATGACCCTCATTTTAGCCGTTTTCACTGTGTACTCAGCAAAGCTCCTATTGACTGCACTGTCATGAAAACCACAGATATATTACCGAACCTCAAAAGAAAGTGTTTGAGAGAGGAAAGCACCTTGTGTGCTTAGCATACGCTAATGCATGAAGGCTGACTGTGGTATTGAGCTTGTGCACATGTTGTGACAAGAGCAGTGCTTTTGCCTTAAGGGAGGACTTTGGAGTTGAGTCTTTGACTTTTATTTATTCGTGTTACATCTAAGTCTTAGCGTCTGGGCTTCAGGTACGAACTTGTCTCTTTCATTGTATCTCTGTAATGAAATGCAGTCAACCAGCAACCAGGAAACAAAAGCTCTCCTCTAGCCATAAACATGTTAAGGCCTCATCATTAATTAAGGAAGAACCTCATAGAGGTGGAAGCTAATGCATGAAGGCTGACTGTGGTATTGAGCTTGTGCACATGTTGTGACAAGAGCAGTGCTTTTGCCTTAAGGGAGAACTTTGGAGTTGAGTCTTTGACTTTTATTTATTCGTGTTACATCTAAGTTTTAGCGTCTGGGCTTCAGGTACGAACTTGTCTCTTTCATTGTATCTCTGTAATGAAATACAGTCAACCAGCAACCAGGAAACAAAAGCTCTCCTCTAGCCATAAACATGTTAAGGCCTCATCATTAATTAAGGAAGAACCTCATAGTGGTGGAAGCAAAAACCCAGGAATGAAAGTTGCTTCAGTCTTCATGCAGACAGAGAAACAGGTGTCTAAATGAGTACTGCAAACTAGAGGAGCACAAAAAGAGCATTAAGTTGAGAGTTTGGTCTTTTGTTTACTGCTGTCACTGTGGTACTATGCTGTGCTAAGAAATGTGGTTAAGCAACTGCTAGTTTGAATTGTGAAAAACACATTTTTGTCATTGCACACACCACCATCGGCACAGTACTGAATGTTTCAGATACCACCGATCCGGTTGTGACATACTCAAATTGTTTTAGAAACACTAACAATTAAGATGCAAAAAAAATGCCACGAATAGTTCATGGCACACAAGTTAATTTCTAAGTAACAAAATGTTTATCCAATTTACATTATGTTCTGACCCTAATACATCATATAGATTAAAAAATATTTTAAACTTTAGATAAACAACAATATAAATGCATACTTTTAAATAAAAATGGATGCTATGTCTTCAAATCAAGTTCAGTTTAACGAAATGTACAACTTTTTGTCAACCGAGTCAGATATTTTGTAAAAACATTTATAAAAACAGGCAATATCCAAGTCAGCCTTCTTGCTGAAGGTCCTCTTTCCATGTTTAACAATGCCACTGGCTCTGGTGAGTTTTATAGTTTCTAATTATATATTAAGTAATTATGCCTATATTTTCTGTCAGTATCTCACTAAACAAATTGTAAAGAAATCGTTTGGGATTTTTACATATTTTCCCTCATTTTAAGTATAGGTCCTTTAGTATACAAACACCAGAAAAACAAAATGGCTGCTGCATTTACATGGGTGATCTGCCAAACATGATTATTTTGTCAACAAATAGCTGTTGTTTTAGTTTTTCTTTTTCTTTTTAGATATAAAAAGCAATAGAAATTCCCACCACATTTCAAATTCTGTACTAAGTTTAGAAGCATTCTGTGATGAAAATGACAAATTAAATAATTTTACAATAAAATGCGGATTTTGTCTTAATAGCTATAAATTGTTACAATTTTTTGCGCAATTTGTAGTAAAAACGTAATTTCAGAAATCTTTATAGAAATAATTTTCACATAAAATAAATATTGATTACAAATTGATTTCACTGTTTACTCAGTTTCCAAGACTGTTTTAATGTGACCCTCATGTAACAAAAATAAATGGTTAATTTAATAAATGTCCCTGGGACATAAAAGTGCCTAAAGTTGAAGAAACAAATTTCTTATATGCCTGTCAAGCTAGTGACATTGGATATGTTTTTGTTTTCTGTACATTCCAATATAATTGGTTTCCTCTGAAACAAAATTCACTTTTTAATCTTTTTATAGAACATGAAAACAATGCAAAGTTTAATTTTCTATGCCCATTTCTGATGTACAAGTTTAGTGCTGGTCACTAAAAGGACAGTTGGTCGTACAAGGCCAACAAGGAGCCTTTAGTATTATTACCATTGTGCCCTTCATTAAGGCACTTAAACCCAGTTTGCTCCAGTGGGATTGCTCTTTAACGATAAAAAAGTCACTTCATGAATCCTAAATAACTACTGCATTTTGAGAGCTGCTTCTTTAAGAACACGCAAACAGTTGCAGATCCCTTTGGATATGTTGTGTTGAACATGTCCCAGCATTTCCAAAGGCAGTTGTCCTGCTCGGGGCATCTTATATGCGTTCATAACCTGACATGTGAGTGAGTTAGATGAATTAGAAACACCCAAAGAATTTAAGAGCCAGAGAACTATTTGTATTCAAGGAAAACAGCACCAAGATCGTTCTGATAAGTCTCTAAGACAATAGTGCTTGTGTTTCTCAATGAGCACATTTTTGTGAAACTGACCTGATAAGGTAAAGCATCTTTGTGAGGCTTCATCTGATGTCCTAAAGGAGGAGTTGAGGCATGGGGTCTAGCACTGCACCTCAGGCATTTGTTCACTCACATACTACATTCCTTAGCCAGCCTAATACTGCTCAACCCACGCGCAGCACAAACACACTTTGTCTTATTCATTTAGGTGGAATTCAGGTAAACTCTAATTCCAAAACTAGTGCATTGCACACTGCACGTATATGCACGGCTGCAGGGTAAACTTAAATATTTCCTTTAATAAAGGCCGTAAATTATAACGTTTAGAAAAACAAAATTTAGTTTATAGTAGCTACATAACAAGGGACACGACATTCACATCCGTAATTTACATTTAAATTGGAATCCAAATCGCAAAGCATTTTAGCGATGTAACGGAAATCAGTTTTCTTCTTTACTGTGACATAATCGAGTTTTGACATTTTAATTAAAAATTACAAGGTTAAAACATTTTTAAATATACATTTCAAATAGTAAAATAAACATGCATTTAAAAAAAAATGCATCAATAACATGCGTTTAAAAAAAAAACAGAGCAAGTCACCATGAAACAGAAACATCTGGACTTTTCACTAGTGATGTGAAGAAAGAATGTAGGGCGGGACTTTTTACTATCGAAAACTTATTGAATGCGGGCGTTGCAAACTAAATGGATGATTTGAACAAGCTTTTTGCCAAGCCCTCACACTGCTTTACACACCATCAGAGAGAAGTCGTAGTGAAGAGGTCACAATTTGTTTATAATGTGTGCAGTGATAAATCATTTATATTTACACTATAAAAAAAACTACATTTTGATTTCATGACTTTAAATAATCTGGATTCAGTCTGATTTATTGAATAAGTGTTTGTCATTGCTTCATAAAAGCCTACTTATGATTGTTGATAAATAAATTTACTCAGCATTTTATTGTGCACATCTCCTACTGCATATATTTCGCTGTAGAAGTCAGAATTATCTACAGGTTACACAGGTTCAGTGATCGCACACCATAAAAATGTCAAAATCATGCATAGCTTGTTCTTAGGATCAAAATGAACTAAATTATAGCAGAAATCAAACATTACTAAGAGAGAACCATGTCTTTATTGACTTGAAATAAAAAAAAAATCATTATACTAAAATGTTTATTTATCATACAAAAATATGAACATACACAGTATGTTTGAAAGACTGGCTGTTACTGTTAAAAGAAACAATGATTTGATTGAAAAGTTGACATTTCATTCTGCGATGATGAGAATCTCTTGCTCTGCTTCAGTCAGTTCCGTCATCACATTCTCCCTGACCGGAGACATCGGCTCTCCATTCTTGCAAGCATTCAGCTTTGGATTGTCCCTTAAACAAAAACATGCACAGACATTTAAATACATTCACATCAAAGCATGTGGCCATTTTGGTCGGTCCTATCATATGGCTTTAAAATATAACACTTATGGACAACTTTCCAAATGCCAAAAAGTAGGAGAAAGAAGCAGTAATCAGATACTTCTCTAGTTTCACCCTCGAACTGACTTCACAGTTAACTCTTATGTTGATTAGCCCCTCCCCCTTCAATCCTGCACTGACTCAGGCCCTTATTATTCAACTTGGGCCTGAGCATTGCATAATGGAATGTATTTCCTTTCATAGTGAGCAGGGTGAAAACTGAACGTGTGTCAGTATTACAAGCATGTCTTCCGTCTTAAAGGGAAAGCGTTCCTAATTAAGTACCTATCCGTGTCATTAATGTTAACCAACAAAAGATGTTAAATAAATATGTTAAGTAAACCTATTGTATCTGAAAAATGAGTTTAATTTGTATCTTTCATATTTGTCTTATTGCCTAAATTCTGCTTCTTTTTCAAAAATGATAAATTATATATATTATATATGAACAACTATAACTATTAAGCATTTTTGTCTCAAGATAAAAGACTAAGACTAAATCAAAAATGCCTGTCAAAATTAACACTGTTTCTCACCTTATCAGAGTTGTCCTCTGTGACTAGGGAGTCCTCCACACCAGCAGAGATGCTGCTAGACTGAGAGAAATATGCACTGTCTTGAGACGGAGGAGACCCGGGAGATTTCTCTGCATCCTCAGTGCCCTCTACAGAAGAGGACGAGAGAGAAAGCCCTGATCCTACCCAGGAGAAGCTGCCCTTCTTTCTGTGGAACTGCTGCAGGGTGGATAACCCTGAAGGTGTGGAAGAGCGGTGTCTGTCTGTGGTGACGGTGGGTGGTTGTGAAGCAGATTTATTGAGTTCTCTGGTGCTTCCTGACCAACTAAAGACCCTGAGACCCAAACTAGCAGGCCTGGAGGAGCGAGACGGAGATGCAGATGGGCTGGACGACTCCTCTTTGGCCTGCTCTCTCTCTGGGTCAGGGTCCTGACACAATGCTGGTGCGTTTCCTTCAGACTGTGAGACAGAAGTCTCTAGAGACCTCGCAGGCTGAGGTGAATCTTGATTTAGTGCGTCTTTCTGTGCCTCTGCCATATTGGATTCACCATGGCAGAAGAACCTGATGGAGATTTCAATCATATCATTATTGCCAGCAGAGTTTAAACTGGGATTTTGGAGGTGGAGGAACAACCACCAGGCCTCCCGGTTAATATAGCACTTTATATTTAATGCCATTGTGCCACGTAACAGTCAGGTCCAATTTAACCCTTGTGTGTGTAATGAGAAAATGAAGGTCTAACAGTAACTTGTGATAGCAACAGTGCACATTCCTTTAGTAAGTTTCCCATCGTGCTCATACCTGCTGTGCGTGACCTGCTCTTCAGTGCCCTCTTCTGATTGGGTTCTCCACTGCAACAGTGTTGCAAAGCGATTTCGAGGGCGGCACAGTCCAACTGTGCTACCACACCCCTTCTCCTTAGAAACAATGTTGTCCTTGATCAGTGGCTCAGTGGTGGGCGGAGTTTCAGGACAGCGTCTCTTTACACCAGCTGAATACTGCCCTAACAGGTCATCCACAGAGAGGCTGGTGTCTTAAAAAAAGACAAAACATTACATATAAACATGCCCAATCAGGTGTCTTATCAAAATAATCAGTCCTATCCTTGAGATTTATATTCATTGCACCAAGGCCTGCTTACCTTCACGGGGTCTTTTCACCTGTGACTCTCTTTGGGGCATTTTTAGACTCTGCACGCTGATGATCTTCTCTTTGCCCCGGGTAGGAGGGGGTCTTTTGGGGGTTGTAGGGCTCTTTGGCTGGGTGCTACCTGGTTCATAGTTCTTGCTCCAAATACTTATCTGTAATGGGACATTTTTGTCACATCTGTCATTCCAAGAACTACTGCGAGCAGCTTTAGAGGGCTGGAAGAGAGGAGAGGGACACCTTAGGTACTTTGCTACAGTGCTATTATTGTGAACGACAATTAAAAGTATTTTACAAATAATTTTCTGTAATTCAAATAAATCTGAAATAAAATATAAATGTCTACTAAAAATGTTAATGAAAATAAGAAATGCTGCCCTGGCTACTAACTGAAATAAAATTCTGAAGTACTAAAATTGCTAAAACTAAAACTGAATAAAATAAATAAAGCTTTATATATATATATATACACAGGTGCATCTCAGAAAATCAGAAATTTTTTTTTGTAACATTTCAAAAAGTGAAACTTTCATATATTCTAGATTCACTGCATGTAAAGTAAAACATTTCAAAAGTTTTAATTTTGATGATTAGAGCTTACAGCTCATGAAAGTCAAAAGTCCAGTATCTCAAAATATTAGAATATTTCCTAAGATCAATTAAAAAAAAATATGTTCACTGATGCACTCAATACTTGGTCGGGGCTCCTTAAGCACAAATTCCAGCATCAGTGAGGTGTGGCATGGAAGCGATCAGCCTGTGGCACTGCTGAGGCACTATTGAGTCTTCAGCTCGTCTGTATTGTTGGATCGACTGTTTCTCATCTTTCTCTTGAAAATATCCCATAGATTCCATATGGGGTTCAGGTCCGGCATGTTGGCAGGCCAATCAAGCACAGTAATATCATGGTCAGCAAACCACTTGGAAGTGGTTTTGGCACTGTGGGCAGGTGCTAAAGTCCTGCTGGAAAAGGAAATCAGCATCTCCATAAAGCTTGTCAGCAGATGGAAGCATAAAGTGCTCCAAAATATCCTGGAAGACGGCTGCATTGACTTTGAACTTGATAAAACACAATGGACACAACACCAGCAGACGTCACAGCACCCCAAATCCTCACTGACTTCGGAAACTTCACACTGGACTTCAAGCAGCTTGGATTCTGTGCCTCTCCAGTCTTCAGACCTTGAATTCCAGATTAAATGCAAAATTTACTTTCATCTGAAAAGAGGACTTTGGACCACTGAGCAACAGTCCACTTTTTCTCCTTAGCCCAGGTAAGATGCTTCTGACATT